TCAACGAGGTCAGCCCACTTTAGGACTGCAGTTTATTTTGTAGAAAAGCAAAATGAAAATAGATAGCTGAGATGAGTCTACTCTTTACCTTATGAATGAACTCCCGTCTTTTCAACAAGCCGATCGTCAAAGGTTGCGGTCTGACTGTAGGTCCTTCTTGTGCGTTTGTATCTTCAGGTGTTTGGCTGCTTACGCATCCTCTGCCGGCAGAATCTTTAGAACAAGAGAAGACGAGAATTTTGTTGTCATTGCTTTTTGGCACAATTTCTGTATCCAAAACGACCAAACATGACAGCTGCACAGCTCGGTACTCTTTCAAGTTGAAGTGGAATCTGTGGAAAGTCATCGAGTCGGATATCTTTGGGATCACGGCTGAAGCGGGAGAATTATCACCATGTGCTAGTGACTAAGAGAGAGCAAATGAACAGCCGGAGTAGAGAGCCAATGTGAGCAGACGGAAAAGACAAGATGGCTACTTAAAATGAGGCTGGACAAGAAGGTGGAGATGTCTATGCGAATCTAGATGTTATTATTTTGTCTGCAAGAATAGCCAAATGAAGAGGATTAGCTTTCTATTTCTGCGGCGAAATCTGTCACATTCAGCCTATAGCGACAGCCATTTTTCCTGAAAGTATCTCAAGCTTGTCCAAAAGATTGACATAATTGCCTTGCTGATGATGAGAAATTATTTTGTTAATTTTACACACTGTCCAAATATCTTTGTTTTTTTAATTTCGCGCTAAGCTTAAACCAGACTAATGTCCAATTCACTTGCTTTATTGCCCGTCATCTGGAGCTTTTAACTCTTGCCCGATCTATTCAAGTTCACACCTTCAGAGGGAGTTCTGGGGCACTGAGGCTGGAATATAATGTTCACCCGAAATGACGTAGGAGAATACCGAACCTAGTAAATGCCTTACGCATATGGACTTGAGCGTTTATTCCGTCTTTTATACACAAATCGACCAGACTACTTGTCATAATGCGACCCACATGGTCTCAAAATTTGGTTTCTCCTCTTCCTTCTGAGATCATGGACGGTGCAGATGAGTATATTGCCGTGGAGACTTTCGTTTCGTACAACCTCCAAGTTGACGCAGTCCACAAGACATTCAGGCGACATTTTGTAAGGATAGTCACTTTTAGCATCGTTTGCATTCATGCTTCTGCAGAACAACCGAAATCATCTGTCGTCTTTCGGTGAAATCGCCCTACGAAGCCCTTTCTTTTGCACTTTTATTAGAGAGTACTGCTTCCACAACAAAGTTATCTTAAGAATGTCATTTAAACCCGGTTGCCCTTCGAGTATATGGGCGAATATGTGCAGAAAATTCCATAATTGTCCTGTTAGGCTCGATTTTATGCCTACAAGGCAGTGAAATTTTCCGTGGAATCTTGGGTGGAATTGTACTAATTGAAGGTTTATTCAAGAAGCCTTAAATAAAGTTGCTACCAGTGGGGCTTCATAGTGAAAAAATGCTATGTTCATGATAGCAAAAGGAGCTGATTATCCAAATGTGGCCGTGCTATGGCAACCGTCGAGCTAAACTTTGATAGCGTTGCATCTCTCACATGATTCTCTATCACTTGTAACCTTAACAATCCAGCTAAGTGTTACCGTCACCATAGGTCGCATAGAGTAATGAGGGCCTGATGGTAGACTTTTTCACAATCATCTTAATAAGCCTCAAGATTTAGGGTTCGACTCCCGCTGGGGGTGCTTACAGGACCTAAGTGAGGTCTGAACTGCAGTCCATCTTAGATGAACATAAGTGACATTTAATTAAAATGTGATGCCTTATGTGACCCCGTGAGACTGGAACACATATTCAAAATTAAATGATCATCTTAAAGCCTTGTTTATACAAATATACGTCTTTTAAAGTCCAACTTTTAAAATTAAAAAACATTTTAGTAAATGATTTATTTGCTGCTCACCTCTCCAATGTACGCCAAATCATACCACTTTTTGAATGATGCCAAGGGCAATGATAGCTATTCTACTACGATTAGGTTTATAGAAACATTGCTTTCGCCTTGGAATCCACTTCACTATGCCTCCAAGCATACCGTTCTTCTCCTGGCCTGGAGGCAATTTCAAAGTAACTTTAGCGTCTCCTCAGCATTTTTGCCGGGATTCGAACACTTGACAGGCGAATCCCGAGGCCCAGTCTAGCTAACCAGAAGACATAATCTACGTTGCTTATCAGGCTTAGTGTAAAATGCAATATTATTGAGGTTGTGAGCAGTCCTTTAACTGCGGCCTTGAGGAACCTGATGTCTCAAAGCACATACCATTTGCCAAATGCCCTGTCTTGGCAACCGTTAGGATCATAAGTTTATTACTTTGGTCTTAAGGTCTTTTTGCCTGTGAGCCTGACATCCATTTCGCCCATAGGCTGTAGATAATAATTGAGGCTTGTTTTCGAGATATCTTTAATGTGGTGACCTTAATTTCATATGAAAGTGCCTTGAAAAAGAGCCTTGAAAGTAGATCTTGTCAAAACACGACGAATGATTCCTGCTTCTCTGCCACCGATTGATTCCGTTTTAGCGCTAAAGTTGACGCGGTCAGCAAGCCATACCCCTTAATTGAATGTATGAAGACCAAGATGTTGTGGCCTCTGTTATGGTCGCAGTCTCCTTTTGATTGATAGAAATGGGTTGACCTCGTTGTCGCAACTTGGTCTTGTTGTCAGGGCGACTATGCCGAACGCACCTAGTCCGAAGTCGTCTAACATAGTAGTTGTCCTGATTCCCAGCATCTTACAGTGGACTTGGTACATTCTCAATCGTTTCGCCGGTATCGTAGTCGGCTAGGTACGTTCCACATAGTCGCCCTGACAACAAGACCAAGTTGCGACCACGAGGTCAATCCACTTCCATACGCCTTAAGTTCTGGTGAAACAAGGCAGTGCCTCCGCCGACAGAGCTGCATCCCATACTTACGAAAACCTTAAGCTAATACGAATTCATGCATGCCGGATACATGCTTTA